CATGAAGACTGAGCCCCACAGTTTGGGGGTACTTTAGGGGACTGTGTTCTTTTGTTAATGGAGCATGACTAGCATAGTTAAAAGTGAAATGCATTATGAATTAAGTAGAAGGAAATTAGAAAATATGAGGTACATCAACTGTTCATCAGGTCCTTTTCCCCAAGACTTGTTTCAGATATATATGTGTGGGTTTCCACACCCATGTTAATGTGGGCACTGCATAGCAATGTGACATGACAGCGGTCATCAAAGTGTAATGTGGGCTGGGGTGCAGATCAGTAGTAGGGGCCTTGTATAGCATGGACAAGGCCCTGGTTTCCATAACATCTTCCTCATGCCAGGAAGACAAAGGAGGCTGTATCAATCTGTCTGGACCTCCAGCTTGGATAATGTGGCCCACATTCAGGGTGGGTCTCCCCCAGCCACTGTCTCACATGTCGGTTTCTGGAAATGCTCCATAGACACACAGAGGTGCATTTAACCAATCTGAGACATCTCCTAATTCAGCCAAGTCAACAACCAAGACCAGTCATCATCCAGGTGTTGTGAGAACACAGTGAGAGCCCAGCTGGAAAAGGGTAGCGGGGAACCAGTGGATGGACTCTGCATCTCAGTGGGTCCAAGTTCTCCATGAAGGGCACCTCAGAGATCATCTCTTGAACTAAAGAAATATATTCAGGATAGTTTGGGGTAGGGTAAGAGGAAGAAAAAATATAGAAACGGATTAATAAATAAAATGTGAAGATCAGACAGAAGAATGAAATGGACAAGCATTTTAGGCATTTTATCTGTAATGGGAAGACAACATCCATTGAAGATGCCCCAGTGCTATGTTCTGTGGAAAGCACAGTCTAATCCTGGGAAATAAAACTATTCTCACCTTGACCAAGATTGGCATATGGCAACTGGACTTGTCCCTGTTCATAGTTGATGTCTGAGAAATGAGTCATTAATGGGCTGTTTAAGGCTGGCAGCACAAGGAAAGCACAGCTTTGGTTTCCCATTGATGAATATCGGATTCAGTCTCGGTGGACACAAAGCAAGTCTCTTATCCCCGGGTTCAGTTAGAACATTGAAGGAAGAGCCTGGAGCTCCAGCTCACCCAAGATCTCTTGTTACCACCAAGCAAAGTTCACCGGGGGCAGGCTGTGGTTTGTGTTTGGAAGACCACTCTCAAAGATAATGGCACCTTTTTCTCCTTCAGAGGATCAGCCTGGGCCAACACCACCTCCCACTTCTTCCTATGTGTGCTTCTGTTCCCGTATGTGTGGTGGAAGAGAATCCACATTCACACCTGGGGAGGTACATGACCCTGTGTCCTTCCTACAGAGTGGATGCTCACAAAGGCACAGCTCTGACTTCTGAGTGTTTTCCTTAGAAGTTTTCTATTTTTATCTTTTGGGAAATCTAAATGTTTAAGCTTATGAAAAATCTAAAATCAAGGGGACAAATCGTACTCTCTAATGCCATCAGGACCACTTTATAACTTAACTAAGTAGTCTAGAACATTCTAATGTGCAAGACGTATGAACTTAGGTTTGTCTTTGTTTTCCACTATTTTCCATCTTTTTTGAGCCATAATTGACAAAACTTCACATATCTCAGGTGTAACTGTGCGACTGTCATTTTTTTTATTGTTGTGGCAGTTGGTTTTGGCCTTGT